GCCGGACTCATTGGCCGGAGAGCCAGGAGGCCCCAAGGGTCTCAGCCCAGGGATTCTTAGCTGGTGGTCATGGGACCCCAGGACCCTGAAGTCTTAGTCGACCCTGTGCACGTCATGTAGTTCACTGCCTCCTGGAACTGCTACCCCAAAGGCCTGTGAACCCCGAGGTGCCTCTAGGGAGTGACAAGAGCATGCTTCCCACAAAGCATAGGGCTGGTGATACGGGCAGGCGGCCAAGTTCAAGGCCCCGGGTCCGGGCCTCCTCAGCCACACAGATGTGCTGCAGTGGTTTCCAGAGGCAGGTGCTCTGGCCGGCTCCTCTGTGGACACCTAGGGACATCTTCCAAAACCCCTCAGCCCTGAGCATTCCATGTGGATGCTGTGTAGCTTTTACCTGCAAACTGAAATCAGTGTGCCTGGAGGGAGGCTCATTAAGACTCAAGAGGTACAGAAAACTCAAAAGCCTCAGGAAACTCCTGAAACTTACAAGATCCCCGAGGCCCCTCCCCAACTTCATAGTAGCAGAAAATTTCTGGGAAGAGAGAGGAGACTCTCCCACCAGGATGTCTGCAAGGCACGCTGGGAGTCCTGGGGATGCAGTTTTGCTGAGCTGTCACCAGTGCTGGGCTGAGCTTTGGTGATGCAGCTGCTTTTGAGCCACCCATGTCCTGTAAGGAACCCCAATAAGCTCACTGGCTCACTAAGCAGGCCTTGGGTGGGGTCTGTCATCAGCGCCCTATCTGGGGTCAAAGACATTTGTTCATCTCCTCCCAGGAAAAGTCACAGGCCCAAGGAAGGCGGAGTCCTTGCGGAATTCCTTTTAGTAGAACGGCCTTCCTCTACAGTATACCTTTTCTCCTGTGCCTGCCTTCCCTCAGTTCCTCACTGGTGTATTCATGCATGTATGCATATATGTATGTATATATATTTCCTAGCTCAGTGCTTACTTAGGTAAACCTTGTTATCTTATTAAAGTATCAGTTGAATTTGAATCATGAATTTTATGCCTATGAGAGAAGAAATAGACCCAGGCTTGTCCTATTAACCTACTTTTAAATTTTTACTTAACTAACTGATTCATTACTTAATTTTGAGATGTGGTCTCATGAACCCAGGCTGGCCACAAGTCTGCTATGCAGCCACAGATGACCTTGAACTTTTGATCCTCCAACTCCTGAGTGTTGGGATAATAGGTGTGTACCCCCACACCCAGTTTTTGTGGTGCTAAGGATGGAACCCAGGACTTCATCAGTTGAGCTGCACCCCAGCCTCCATTAGCCCGTTTGGAGAATCGTTTTGTGGGCAGACAAACACCTGAGCTGTCTTGAGTTCAGTTTAGGTTGATGTAGGACAGGCCAGTCTCTATCCAGGACCAGGCTAGAGGGGCTGGGGTGGAGGGATGGGGTTAAGACGCGCTCTGGAGGCCTTGAAGAGGGCCTGGCACCAGCGCTACTTTCTGCCTGCTGGAGAACCTCAGAGGAGAACCTCAGCGACTCACGGGGCTGAACTGCAAGTGTGTGGAGGAGGAGGGACATGAGGCCTGGACCACGGAGGCTTAGCACCATGGAGTGATGCGTGTCAGTACATGGGGACGTCTTTGCTCACGCAGCTGTCACACGGTCACCACCAAGGAAGGACATGCCAACCAGGCTTTGTCCACAGACCCGGCTCTCTCAGTGGAGTCAGGCAGCCTGCTGCAAAGCCTCCCGCTGCTCTTCAAAGGGCAGCCACCACGAGGTGACACTGCTTAACCTCAGCCCAGAAGAGGCAGGCCAGTTCCGGCAGGCCTTCCATGACAGCCCTGCAGCAGGATGGACGCACCTCTTCAGACGTTGGCCCGGCTGCTTGCCGTTTCCTGCAAGCCTGAGGCTACATGATAGACCCGAGTCCTTTGTAAACAAAGGACCTCGGAGCTCAGCTGGACCTCGCCAGTGCCCACCCAGCGTCCACTCACTGCACTTCCCGTACAAGCCACGATTGGAAAGGAGCTGTTTTATTGAGCCCTGGGGCACACTAAGGCCCAAAATCAGGTCAAGGACGAAGGTGAGAGTGTATTTGAGATTAAATATTGATTTGGAGGTGTGGGCTGAGAGGGGCCAGGCAGCCGTGTCCAGCAAATGGCCTGTGGTTCCTGCTCCTCCTGAGGCTTGCACATAGGACCCTAGGGACACCCAGCAGAGCTGATTGGAGCCTTCGTGCTGGTCAGTGTGAGACACAGAGACAGGGTTGCTATCCCCGCCTGGAGCTCCCCCCTCCCACAGCTGATGTGTATGAATCCCCTCTTACACGTCAGGAGTCTAGAGAAGGAAGCTCCTCCCACAAGATGCGGTGACTGTCACTAGGGGAAAGTTGGAAGTGCTAATCTGGAGTGGGCACAGGGGCCCATTTTTTAATTTCATGTTTTTCATGTGTGTGCAGGTCCACATGCATGTGCATGGGCATAAATGTTAGGAGACATGCTCCTCTGAGTCAAGGCCCCTTACTGACCTAGAGCTCACCAATTCAGCTAGCCTGCCTAGCCACACTCCCAGAGGTCTGCTGTATCTGCCTCCCCAGGGCTGAGTTTGCAGCACACCCTGCCACACCCTCTATGTTGTATGGTGCTGGGGATGGAACTCAAATCCCCACTTCATCCACTGAGCCCCTTCGGTTTCAAGGGCGTGTTTGTATAGTTCTACTTCCTGTCCGTCCCCCAAGCTCAGGCCCTCTGCCTTCTAACCAAGATCCAGAACTCAACAGAAAACAAGAGCTTCATCTCAGCAGCCACTCTGGGCAGCTGGTGACCCTTGCTGGACCATGCCCTTCTATGGGAGGTTTTCCAGTATCTGTGAACTCCAGGACAGGGAGAAGTAGAGTGGGGTGGTTTGAATAAAAATGGAGCTGGGCGTGGCGGCACACGCTTTTAATCCCAGTACTTGGGAGGCAGAGGCAGGTGGATCTCTGTGAGTTCGAGGCCAGCCTGGTCTACAAAGCAAGTCCAGGACAGCCAAGACTGCACAGAGAAACCCTGTATCGAAACACAAAACAAAATTTAAAAAAAAATGAGAATGGCAGACTCATATATTTGAATGTTTAGTCATTAAGGAATGGCATTATTTGGGTGGGATTAGGAGGTGTGGCCTTGTTAAAGTAGGTGTGGCCTTGTTAAGGTAGGTGTGTCTTTGTTGAAGCAGGTGTGTCTTTGTTGAAGTAGGTGTGTCTTTGTTGAAGTAGGTGTGTCTTTGTTGAAGTGGGTGTGGCCTTGTTGAAGCGGGTGTGTCTTTGTTGAAATAGGTGTGTCTTTGTTGAAGTAGGTGTGGCCTTGTTGAAGCAGGTGT